GCGGGGGGGGGGGGCTGAGATGCAGGAGAGCTCGGAGCTCTGAGCAGAGAGGAACCCAAGCAGCTGGTAACTGGGCAGGGAACCTCCAGACTGGGAGATGCCGATGCTCCCACCCGGATGAGGCGGCTGCAGGCACAGGAGGCAGGGCTCTGCTCATCTCCTGGGCTCTGCTCATCTCCTGGGCTCTGCTCATCTCCTGGGCTCCTCCAAATAGGTCAGAAATAGCCCAGTGACAGGAATAACCCAAATGGTCCCTGAAACCAGAACAACCAGAGCTCGTAGGGAACCGTGGAGGTGATGACATCCCAGGCTGAGCTGTCTGCGGCTGCAGCCAGGCGAGCTCATCACTGGCTGCATACGTCGTTATGGGGAGAATGGAAACAGAACTGCCTGTTTCGCAAGTTTTTGCTTTCATGCCTGTGTTAACAGACTGTAAAAAGTACCCAAGGTTTTGCCCTGATCTCTCTGTTGTGGTGGGGACAGGACCGGCACTCCAGGGCACCCTTTTCAACCCCACCTTCCCCCCTGTTGCTCCCTGCTTTCCATGACTCTGTTGCTTTTCTTGTTGCAGTTACGGACAAATTCACGGAGAGCATGTATGTCCTGGCCAACGAGCCCTCCGTGGCATTGTACCGGCTCCAGGAGCACGTGCGGAGATCCCTTCCGGAGCTCGCGCAGCACAAGGTGAGTCACGCTTCGCTTTGGGCTCCAGAGCTGCAACAGTCAGGCACAAGCTGTTTTCCTGACTTGGCACATCATCCCTCTTTCAGCTCCCTTAGGGGCTGGGAAGGAGGGAGGAAATCGGCCATCAGGGTGCGAGGTGCTGCGGGTCCCCAGTTCGGTCTGAACTGGAGGGGATGAGGTTGCAAATTTACCTGTGGACCTGAGGAGAAAAACTTGAGAGTCCAACCCCGATCCCATGCTCACACAGCTGGAATTGTGCGTGGAGACAAAGAAAAATGAGTAGTCTGTTTTGTACAGGGAGGAGGGAGATGTTAAATCTTATTACCCCTGCCTACACTGGGAGATTTTTTATTTCCTACATAAAATGAGGGGGAAGGTGAGAGGAGGGAAAGGGGGAGTGTGAAGAAACAAGTGAGAAGAGCCCACATGAGGGAAAGCAGGATAATGAATCGCATCTCACAGCTGTGTTCCTACTTTCCTCCAGAGCACGGAGCACAGGCACTTTAATGCCAGCCTTGTTGTCCTTCTCCCTCTTCTGCCAGTCATGATTCATTAGGAGTGATGTCTCATGAATAGATTACTGCTTCATGTCTATGCTAATGCGCTGTCAGGCCCCATTTTTCACCTTTGCTTTACAGCCCTGGTTTCCAAATTAACCTGGATTGTGACACTTTATTATTCAATTATTTATTAACGTTTTATATACGTGTCTGTGTGCAATGGTAGGTATATAGAGATGTATATGCATGTATAGCACATGCTGATGCGATTGCATCGCTGGCGTGCAGGAGACGGGTTTGTAATGTTATTCCTGAGCTGTCACCTGCTTTCATTTGATCAAGATAGTCCCAATTTTCAGGGAATGTGTCCTGAACAAAAGGAAATTGAGCAAATTGTATGACAAGTCATGCAGAGGGAAGAGATCAGTTTCCATCACTGAACGGTGCGTAACGGGGATGAGGGCGAGGGGCAGCACGGAAGCACTAATGGAAGCGACAGCCGAGTGACGGCACCGGACACGGAACGTGTTGTTAGACAGTGGGGTTTATGCTGGCCAAGATCTCTGCAAACCTTGGATTCTCTCATTTTCCCTGCTCAGCGTGCTCATCGCGGTTATCTTCAGCGTTCTGTGACCTCTCTGGCTCATCTGAGTTCATTTCCTAGCTGCGGCCATCCTAGAAAATTCTCTTTTGGAGCCAAAATTGCTGCTGTTTTCTGCTTTCTTCTTGTGAGAAAGGAGGTCATGCTCTCCTGAGGATGGCAGGAGCAAATACAAGGACCCCGCGTCCCCCCTGTGTGACTGCGGCCATCACAAGCGTCAGATACCTTTAGTCTTTGATGCTTTCATCTTCAGCCTTGCAGCCTCCCTCCCGACCCGGCCACTAGCCCCAGCTGGGGCAGTGGTGGTCTTTGTACACGAGGAAGAGCTCGCTGTGCTCCCTGCACGGTGCACGTCAGGACAAAGCTGAACCGACCGCGCAGTGCCCTCTGCCCTGAGGCACGGCAGGACACTGCCCCAGTGCCACTCCAGTACCTCTTTGCTTCTCTGGTGTGAGAAAACTTTCCCTGATGCTTGTTTGGCAGTGCTGCTATTTACATCCATTTCTTTTTGCCCACTGCATGGGCACTTCCAGCTTCTTAACCACTTTCCCGGTTCCTGGCTGTGTTTAATGGTGCACTGATGCAGCAAGAGCTGGGAGAAAATGTAAGGAAAATTATTTGTGGCAGCTGGAACAACAGCAGACTCAGAACTGCTGCTGTTGACCTCTCCTTCATCCTCGTCAGCTCCTGAGTTCTGTTCTTCAGAGGCTGCAGTTTTGTGTTTGGAAGCCTGCTCTCCTCCCTGCTGGTAACCAGTCACTGGTAGGAACTGGGAGGGTTAAACATAACTCAGTTAGGCCAGGGTCCTGACTGTGCTGCCAGGCTGTTGGTAATGGGCTTGTGGCCAGGTTCTCTCCGTTGTCCTTGATCCCACTCTCATTTTATCCCATTTTAGGCATTGCTGCTTGCAGCAAACAAGCCCTTGAGCCCCGCAGCCAGACCCCAGGAGAGGGGGATGCACTCTCGACACGGCCATCGTCACAGCGGAGCGTTCAGTTAGATGGGGATGGATGTTTTGGGTTGCTCTGCCAGAGCCCATCGGCTTTGTGGCTAGAGACTGGAACAGGATGGTGTCAGCAGGGCTGTGCACCGTGAAGACGTTGTCAGGTTTTATCTAAATCAGAGCAAAGGCATTAAAGTGAGGTGGTTTTAATTCTTCAGAACAGAAAAGAAGAAAGAGAAACGTTCTGTGTGGATCCATCTTCAGGTAGTTTAGTCCCAGGATGTAGGTAATGTATAGAGGAAGCAGGATTTATTGGTGGTTTCCAGCTTTCCTTCAGCTGTGCAGCAACTCCATCTCTGGCTGGCAGAGTTCTGACATTCCCAAAACTTGGGAACGCAGCCTTTGACATTCCCAGGGGGATTAAACCTAGGAAAAACTGTGAGGGACGGGGCTGGGAGAAAAGTTTCTGCGAGGAGAAGGTCACCTCCGTGCCTTCACAATGAGCAACTTTCTGCAATTTGATAAAACAATAATTTTAATACCTTCCTCACCATCTCAAACTCTCCAAGCAGATTTGCCACCTCCCTGATAAGCGACAGCGCGATGCGGGACCCTCGCTGCCGCTAAGCCCCGCTCCGCACACGGTGGCCTGTCTGGATTTGCCCTGATCTTTTGAGAACTTACATCTCCTCGTTAATTTGCTTCCAGGCAACAGTAATTTATCATTAGTGCTATTGTGTATTAATAGCTGGCTTTAGTTCTTAAACTGCGTCCAAGGGCACGTCCTGGGAATTTAGGAAAGGACATCAAGGAAAGATTAAGAAGTGAGGAGCTCTAGGGAAGGACTCTTGTTCCTAATTAAGGACATGAAAATCCCAGGAAGTGGTGGGAATGCTGGGAACAGACATCACTGGCTCTGATACTGGGAGATGATTAAAATCTACTGGTGCTCAGAAATGGCAGGACCACAGGCAAGCAGCTGTGACGCATGGGACTGAGCCAGTGTGATGTTGGGGTCTTAATGGTTGTTAAAGATCATCTGGCACCTCTTGGAGAGAGCAGGGTGAGGAGCTGCAGGAAAGTTTCTGGGTCTTTTGCAGCTGCCTCCGCACACAAAGCGTGTTCCCAGCAACACACACAGTCACGTACAACGCGACTGGACTCTGGGATGAGTGTGGTCTCCGTGGGGTTGTGAGTCCTGGGTCGAAGGGCCCTCTCCTGCAGAGAACTGCCTAGAGCGTGGCGTGTAGAGGCTTGTTTCTTTTGTAGCTTAAAGCTATGTGGTCGAGCGTCCTGATGTAGGAAAGGCTTTGAACAGCAGAAGGGATTTTTGGATGCAGTCCAAGCTCCTACCCGACCTCCTTCGCTCACAGAAAGGGGCCCTTGGATCTCCTCTGGCTGGTAACTAGACCCAGCAGAATAGACTGGAGCATTAGCTCCCGTGAGAACATATTTTAAAGAGTGCCACGACTACTTGAAGACTTTTGAAGTAGTTATTGAGCTACACCTCTGAGTTCAGCTGCCCTTTCGTGGTGATTGGGGTATTTGTTTGGTTTTCCCTTTCCTTGGAGCTACTGCTCCCAGTTAACGTCCTGCACCAGAACTGGCTGCGTGCAGTGCTGCTCGAGTTTGCCCAAAGTTTACAGGGCTCCTTCCACGCTCCTGAAAGGAAGGGCACAACGCTGACCGCTCTTTGGGATCAGTCACCAGAGTTTCAGAGCAGACTGGAGCACAGGGATGCTTGCGGCTGTGGAAACGCCTATGAATGGCAACTTGAACGAAACGAGAACTTTCAGTGCTGTGAGAGAAACTTCTACCTGGTTTTGCATGAAGGATTAAGGTCTGGGCTCCACGGGAGCTGTGTTGGTTCAGATCCTGGCTGCCTGCTGGGCCACACGCACTGGGAGATCTGAGTACTCCGAAACACCCAGCTGGTCCGCTGCGCTCGGCGCGGGTGCTGGGTGCTCGCAGCCTGACTGGCCGTGGCTCTCAGCTGGCTCAGGGGCTGAACCACCTGAAAACAAGACAAATTTTGCCAGAGTACCCAAAGCGTTGGCCCGACACAGTAGCCCTTCCAGAAACGCACACAACAAATGCTTCTTTTAAACGCTAGCGCGTGGCGCCCGGAGCACGTGGCAGGCTGTCCAACGGGAGGCAGAATCCAAATGCAATTCCCAGTGCAAAGCAGCCAGAGCCCTTGTTGGGGCCGGGCTGGCAGAGCGCGTCGCGGCGGGCTGTGCCTCTCGGGCACACACCTAACGATGCCACCTTCTTTTCTCTTTCAGTCCGACATGCAGAGCTGGGAGGAGCAAAGCCAAGGAGCCATCTACACGGTGGAGTATGCCTGCAGGTACAAGAGCCTCCTCCAAGCAGGAGGGTTGTGTTTGCAGGTGGAGCTGTGGTGGTGGTAGAAACAAAGCAGAAGCTGCCTGTGCTTCCCTGATGCCTCCCTGGCATAAGCCGGGGTGACAGCGTGGTCGAGGTGGGGGTGTGAGGGTACGAGGCGGTGCCCTCGGAACCGTTACCGTGAGGCCCTGGGCAACCTGATTTAGTTGGAGATATCCCTGTTCCTTGCAGGAGGGTTGGACTAGATGACCTTTGAAGGTCCCTTCCAGCCCTAACCATTCTATGATTCTATGAGTCTCGGGGGCTTCGCTGTGATGCACGTGCCAGCGTTTTGCCAGTTCTGAGCGTGGCACAGACCTGCTGCTCTCCTGCAGTAAATCCACCCACCAGCTAGCTAAGCGTGCGAGGGTGCAACGTGCCGTGGGAAGTCGAGGTTTCTTATTTACAGTCCTCTCTGTCAGGGGCTGTGCGCTCTCAAACCATGATGCCTCTGGAAATACTAACCAGTCCTCCCATCTCCCTCCACCCCCCCTCTTTTCTTCTTCCAGTGCCATAAAGAACATGACTGACAGCAGCATGTACTTCAAGAGCATCGACAGTCTGCTCAAACATGCCATAGCCATGAAGGACCAGCTGAACGCAGCTCAGGGCCGCAGGTAGCCAGGGGATGTGACACCACTGCCTGTTGATCCGAGGGACCGTTCTGGCTGGCAGAGGCTTTGGTGATGTCATGCAGCCCAGTGCAAATATGCCAAGCAGTTATGTCACTAATATGATTCTAGACTATTGTTTGAAAGAGCACGCTGCTTACCTTCCAGTGATCTGCTGGCTTTGTTTACTGGGAAGCAAATAATCTTGTTTGCAAAAGGGTAACTGGAAAATAATTTATTTCTTGTTTAAAAAGGGATGTTTGGTTGTGTGATACATCAAATCTTTGTTGTGTCAAAGGCATTTGGAGTGAGATGATGCTACCGAGATGGAGTAGGTGAGAGGCTGCGTTTGGTGCCGTTCTCTGTCTGTATGTGGCTTTTTTTGGGCAGAGTCCCATAGAGATAAGTGGTGGCAGAACGATGATGTGTTTTTGTATGCTTGCAGTTAACTACAGCTACTAAAATATCTTCCAGTAGATCGTTTGAGTCTAGTGTATTTGTCTCTCCTGAGAACGGTGTTGATATTGGAGTCTGACTGGGTAGGAGTGAGAAAATTCCCAAATGCCCATCCCTGATAAAACCACCACAGCGAGCAGAGAGCCTCTGTCTGTGCAGAATGACTCTGCCTTAGACACTTCTGGTTCAGGTTCTGTATTTTCCCAGTTGCTCTCGTGGCACGGTCACGCTCTGTGCAGCCCAGAGCATTTTTTAGTGGTTTTCATGGTGGTGTGGCTGTGGAGATTGCTGTCTCCACACCTACGGGGGCTGGTACATGCTGCTCTCTAGTCTGCACAGCACGCTGAAAGGTGTGCTTGTCTAAGCTGCTCTCCTGCTGCAAGCAGTGAGGTTTTATTTGAGGGAATCCATGATTCTTCACCTTCTCGTGGCTGCTGGTGTCCTGCCTGTCCGCTGGATGTGACTGTCTCTTTCTTTTTGCAGCGCCGTTGCTCCACAAGCCAAGAATCCTCCAGCCAGTTCCTGATTTCAGCCAAGACTGGCCATCCTCTGCCGCCTTCTCCAGCCCAGCTCTATGTTCTCCAACCACGGGCAGGAGTGAGAAACCACCTGCTCAATCTGTGAAGCTGCACAGAGGCCTCTGCCTCCCTCTCTGCTCCCAGTGACAAGGTGCTGCACCTAAGCAGGCAAATCCTGCCACTGGGGTCAGGACTGCCTTTGGGGGGGGTGCTTTGGGGGAGCACTGGTGTCCCTTTCCACAGCACTCTGCAAAAGAGAAATGGGGTGGTGCTGCATTTGTCCTTTCCAGTTCTTTTTGATGGCAGACTGCTACAGGGCGTTTTTCTCTCTACCTCTTGGCCACAGAAATATCTCAGAAAAACTAGGTCTTGCTTTCAGTGTTTTGTAGAAGATGTAATGCAGGCACACTTCAGCTTTGTTCAGGAGGCATTGTGCAAGGAGAGTTTTTCATGTGTGTGCCAGGGAGTTCCTGAATTTGGTTTTAGAGAGAACAATAATAAAAAGAAAAAACAAGAAAGTTCTGTTTAAAACCTTCCCCTGTTGCTCACTCGGGCTGGGGGGTCTTGGAGCCTGCTGGCTCTGCGTGTTTCAAAGGGCAGGGAGAAAAACAAAGACAAGCAGAGTTGGAGCCTTTCAAGTGAAAAAAGAAACTGTCCTGTTCTTAAAAAAAAAAAAAACCACACAACAAAAAAGGGACTTTCTTTATCCTCTGTCAAGCAGAGGGAAGTGGAGCTGCACGCACAGCTTTGGAGGTCACTTTAAAAAGGATGCAACTTCAATGTTAATCTCTCCTGGAAGCAGCAGTTCTGTTCTGCTGAAGAATTTACCAAGGATGCAGGGATCAAAGCAGCACTAGGCTCGGTTTCCAAAGAAATTGTATTGTGCTCAGGATAACAGGTGTCTTTCAGGATAATAGCACGGGAGGTGAGAAGGGGATCCCTGAATCGGTGGCCTCCCTTCGCTCCCCGAAATGCTTCACTGGTTGCTGAACGATGAGGGACTGGGGGAAGAGCCTGGGGTGCCGGGCTGGGGCAGGCTGGCAGAGCGTGGGGCTGCGAGCAGGGACGGAGCGAGCTGAACCTGCTCGTGTTTCACGGGAGCAGCTCCTGCCTTTCGTGCTTGTGCTTTCTGCCCTGCACGCAGCAGAGGACTGGCAGTGCCAGTGCAGACCCCTTCTCAGACATCAGCCTTGGCAGTCGGCCCAGGTGATCCCCACAGAGGTCCCTCCACCACTGAGCACAGCCAGGGCACTGGGGCTGCTCCAGCACAACCCCTTCCCTGCTAAGAGCTGTTAAGTGTCCCTGCTTAGCGAGCTGTCTTCTGCTCAGGGGGTGGACGTGCTGGTGACCAAGCAGCAGGCTCTCTGCCACCCCAAACTCACCCTCTGCATCTTGCAGGCTCCTCTGGCTCCATCTCACTTGTTGTTCCTCCTTCACCTCCCTCGTTTTCTTACACCTGCCTGGCTGCACGCTGCGGGAAGCCCTGCTGGGTCGGTCGTATGAACCATCTCGGTGTAGTGCTGGCTCCTGGGGATGGAGGAGGAAGGAAGAAGGCAGGAGAGGGGCAGGGAGGTGCAGGCAGCCAGAGAAGTCAGCTGGGTTCTGCTGGAGAAAGAGGGTAGGTCTGCTCATGGACAAGGTCCACTTGCTGCTTCTCACCTACGAGTTCCACTTCCTTCGCTGCAGTTGGGGCAGCCACGGGGGTCCTACGTGGACCACTGCCAGCTGTGGTCCTCGTTCCTGGGGTGGCAAGTGCCAGCAGCATCACAGGTAGCAGGAGGGGCTGGGGGCTCAGGGCAGGTGGCCGAGGGCTTTTGGCTTTGAGTGGAGGTGGAGTCTTCTCAGTAAAAGAAGGAAAGAGCATCAGGCAGTGGCTGGTGGGAGGGTGGGAAAGCAGTCACCCCCTGCTCTGGCGAGATGTGACCTATATTAAGCTCTAAACAGAGATGCAAATCGTGGCCCTGGTGCCTGCAGCTCCCCTGGGAGGAGACGGGGCGCAAAGGTCCCGCTTCCACTCACACCAGAGTCGAGTCCTTGCCTGAGGCTCCCGGTTTGCGGGACAGCATGTTCCTCATCTCCTGCGTGACGCCGTTCCAGGGCTTGCCCTGTGCCTGCAGCAGCCCGGACTCTGCCGACAGCGTCCTGTGCGTTCGGGGCAGGTTGTAGCTCTCCTTCTCGGAGCGAAGCCCGGGGCTGCCCGAGGAGGTGAGGTTGCTGCTGGCCGGAGAGCCCAGCTGGGATTTGCGCTCCAGGAAAGGAGGGAAGGAAAATTCCCGGTGGATCTCGGGCCGGGGCCGGGGCGCAGCCGTGTTCTTGTTGTTCAGATCGCTGGTGGAGGATTCGCCGTGCTGGGCAGAGTCGTTCTCGTACAGGGCGTGAGACACCTCGGAGCGGCCGCGGCGCGAAACCTGGGAAGCCCGAACCAGGGCGTGCGTCACCGTGATGAGCAGGACGATGATGCCAGAGGAGAGGATGCAAGCGCTGGCAATGCCAGCCTCCAGTTCAAACAGCAGCAGCATGTAGATGGCGAGAGCTGGAAGGAGAGTGTGGAACATCTTGAGGAACCAGAAGGATTAAAGCGATGCATTCGACCTGCAAAATTCAGGCCAGAGGAGCCCTCGTGAGGGCTGGTCACCGGGAGCAGAAAGTTCACGCTACGGGAATGAGCTGGCAAAGCCATTTGCAAAACAAACCCGATGCTGAAGTAGAAACTCAGCGGCTCACAAGCACTCGGCGAACAGTGCAGGATGTATGGTCTGGGCTGAAAAACGCCCAGTCCCTGCTGGGCTGCGCTGGTGGGAAATGGGCACTTGCCTGTGAGGTAGACTGAGACCCCGCAGCAGAACAAGCCGATGGCAGCGTGGCGAACCGTCCGGCTGTCCAGAAGGAACCAGTCTGCCCTGCAAAACAAGAGAGAAAAACGGAGCTTTGCGTAGTCTCCTGGCACTGATGCTGATGCTCTGGTCTCTGCTGAGAAACTGAAACGCTGGTTTTGCATTAGAGAAGAGATTCAGAGGCAGGTCACAAGCCCAAGGACCTCTCCTGAACTGGGGTTTCCCCCAGGCTGCTGGGTCACACCGCTCTGGGCTACATTCTCCCTGCTCTGGAATAGGAGATTTTGAGATCACTTGAAATGTCCAAACTTTTCCTGCCTGGCTCTGGAGCTTCAGAAACCAGATGGGGTCAGGGGCTCAGGAGAGACAAACGGCTCGAGGCTTTTTGCAGGAACAAACCTGAGGGTGTCAAGCCCATCTCCCCCTTAGAGAAAGAATGACAAGTCAAGTGTGGGCACTTTGAATTAAGCAACGCCGGGTTCTCCCTTCGTCCTTGGGATTGGATTTCTGTGCTCAGCTCCGATTGCAAGCCTTTTGTCTGGAGGGGGCTTGCTACTTGAATTGTGCTTAAAACACGTGAAAAGACCAGCTCCTTTCCAGCAGAGCCTTTGTTTCCCACCCAGCAGCGACCCCAGCGCCTGTTGCCTGTGATTTCCACTGGCAGCTCTCTGCTCTGGCCCCAACAGCTCTGCTTGGGCATCTTCGGAGCCAGACTGACCTGGCAAACCTCGGTCCTTGCTGGGCTTTGGAGGCTGCTCTCGCCAGAGGATGCCTCTGCTAATTGGGAGAGCGGGATGTGGTCATTAGGGGACCCAGCGTAGTGTGGCCGGGTGGAGGTTGGCGGACAGGTGCCAGGAGACTCGATGGGGTTGGAAATACGAGCGCTCACAGAGATGCTGGCAGGACTGTGATGTTGGGAAGTCACAAACAGTCCCTTGAAACAACTGGGGGTGCACGAGGCCTCGCTAGTCCCACCGGCCATCTCCAAAAATCCCAGGGAGCTGTTTGGAAACACGCCCTGGCTTGGAAGGACCAGCTGAAGGGGCAGCAGCACAACTGTCCTCCTGATCCACCCCGCGGGGCGGATTCAGTAGCCAAGGATGCCGTGTGCTGGGCTGGTCTCCTCCCAGCATGGCCTGGCCTCCTCCTGGGCTCGTTGTAGCCCCTCGGCCGTTGCCACCCGCACCGGGAGCCCGCAGCCAGGCAAAAAAACCCGGACCCCGCTCCCGCCCCGCGCTGCCGGCGGGGAAGAGCAGCCGCTTTGTTTTATTAATTACCTGAGTCGGGGCGGGGGGATTAGCGGGGAGGAGAAGGACTTTGTTTGGAGATGGCTCGGACTATTGAGCGCAGCGCTGAGAAGCGGAGCGGTAATTCAGTGTGACAGGCCCAACGTGGGAAAGGTCCCTGGGACGTGAGCGGGTCCCCTAATGAAACCGGCACCCAGTGGGGCCAGGCCAGCTCGGGCACGAGGAGACGGCGGCTAACGGCGTCCCACGTCGTGGGGGAGAGGGGCTGCGTCCTGCCAGGGTGGACAGCCTACAAACCAGCATCCCTGTGTCCCAAGAACCTGCCCTTTTCCTCCCAAACACAAGCGAGGTTGCAGCTGGGGAAACTGAGGCACGGCCAGCCTAAGTGATCTGCTTGAGATCCCGCGCAGAGGGACCCCAGCCCAGGGCTCCCAACCACACCAGCGCCTCGTGTCACCTGCAGCAGAGCCAAAAGCAGCCTCTCGCTTCGCCGGGGCGCTGGAACAGAGCACCGAAATATTATTTAAAATCAAATCTGGGAACAGCTTCCCCGCTCGGTGAGACGCGCCAGCGGGGTCCGACGCTGTGCGGCGAGGGTCACTCTGTCCTGTACGTCCTTGGAGAAGTTGCTGCTGGTGGATACGGGCTGTCCCGCGGCCGGCACGCCCCGACTCTCTC